GACATGATGAATGGATGGATGGATGGATGGATGGATGGATGGATGACATGATGAATGGATGGATGGATGGATGGATGGATGGATGGATGGATGGATGACAGACGGATGGATGACTAAGGGTTGGAAGTAATTTCCTTTGGGTAAATAAACATAAACATAAACTTTAAATTAATAAACAAAAAGCACTTCCATATGAAAAACCTGCAGGTAAAGAAAAAAAGATGGAAACAAAACAACTTTGTCAGACATTTGAAATTAAGAATGGTCCTGGCACTTTTTTGCATCCATGAGATGCCGCACTTTGGCTGAATTCATCTTATTGGCAAATGTACAATTTTCCTGCTTTCATTACTTTTTTAGATAAATGCACATTTAATACCACATGCTAAATGATTTACATATAACTCAACTTTGTCCATAAAAGGACTTGAAATTGAAGTTTTAAACTTGCTGTGTCATTTCCTTATTTGACTTGATTTTAAACTTGGCAAATAACTATATTTTCTTGAGACTTAAAAACGAAACACTTGGCCGCACCTCCAATATACACCATTGTGCTGAAATCCATCTAGTTTTTAATCCATATGGTTTAATTGACACAGGTGTTCTACTCTGTTTTTGAGGCCACATAGGGGTCTAAAATTCTGTGTTAATTGACTCTCCAGAAATCCGCCCAGTTATTAATTGCAACCTTCCACTTTGTGACTAAGCGTCTGTTTTCAATATTAACCACTGTTATAATAGTACCAACTGTTGCTCATTCAATGCTTAATACAGATGACGTTTCTTGACTGGACTTAATGCACAGGTGGCATCATTTTACAGAAACATGTTGGGGCGACAGTGGTTCTCGCCGCCAGTTCGAACCCCAGCTCTGTCTGTCGTGTGAACCTGCGCCTGCATTACCTACTGATGGTGGTGTCTGTGTACACTAGTCTCACTCCTGTCAGTAAGGCTGCCTCAGCTTACCATCATCAGTGTGTGAAATGGTGGCTAAATGTGTAAATTCAACATTAAACCTAAAGCTCCTGAGCTATCTCTATAGTTATGCTGCTATAGGCTTAGACTTCTGGAAGACATAGGGACCCCCTTTTCCATCATTCTGTTTCATTCTATCTCTATTCTCCCACTCTGCAGAATCTGTTTGTTCCTTGCTGTGTGTTTCCTGGATGTGGCCGCCTGTGGAGCTGGTTTACAGTTACCTTTTGTATCTGTGCTTCTCTCTGTATGTCTGCTTCTGTCTCATTGAAACCCAGTCAGCCTCAGTAGATGGCCGCTCACACTGGTTCTGCTGAATGTTTCCCCTGTTACAAGGGAGTTTTTCCTCTCCACTGTCACTACAAGCATACTTAGAGTGAGTTTTCCTTAGATAGAGAACTTTGAATCAATGTGACTGTATGATCTGGTGAACTGGAAAGTGCCTTGAGATGACGTGTTATGATGCACTATATTAATAAACTGAATTGAACTGAATTATATTAATGTTGTGTAAAAAAAACTGTAAAGAGCTTTGGAGTCCCCTTACTTGTAAATGTGCTTTATAAGTACATTTCAATCCTGTGAACTTCTGAGAGTTTGTAGAGAAGGTGTTTATGCCTTAGAGATGCAGTGATTTGACCTCTCATTTACCTGCATCCATGGAGGTGATAGGAAGCAAGGAAATGAGGGACAGCGCAGCAGTATAAAGTGTTTGGATGTAAATTAGGGGACGTTGCTGACTTGGAACAAACTGAAGCAAGCCACAGCAAGAGGCATAAAACAGCTGATAGGAATGATAGGGGACTTAACTCTCCAGCACAGAAGAGGGCAGTAGTGAGCAGAGACAGGGCAGAAAATGATCATTAAGAATACTAATCACTCATATGAGACTTATGTTCCCAACAGAGCACTTTGCTCTCAGTCTGCAGGTGCTCATACAGGTCAATCATCTCGTTATCTCAAGAAATCAATAAATGTTTTCTTGCGATAACGAGATAATTATCTTGTTATCTTGAGAAAACAATTAATGGTTCAACCGTGATAACGAGATAGTTATGTCATTCTCTCAAGAGGGCAAAGGGGAAAAAAAAGAGTCGAGCGCAACCCCCCTCGGCGTCCGTAGTTTGATACCTCAGTTAGAAAAAGATTTGTTGTCATATTGTTAAAGAATAATGGAGGTTCACAGGTTTCTAGTAAGTTCTATAGATTGTGAAAATGCTGCAAAAGCTGCACTGCAAAAAACTATTTAGAAATACATAAAAAATGTATTTGTCAATGGAGATTGTTTACTCTTAAAATAATTAGATGATATGCACTTTAAATAAGACAGTTGTTTTTTTCTTATTTTAAATATAAATTGTCTTGTTTCATTTGCAAAGTGTCTCACATCAGTTCAAGAAAAATGCACTTATTCTAAGAAAAAAAATGACTTATTTAGATTTTAAAAAATGTGCAAATGATGCCGACAGTTTTTCTGCTGGCAAAATAATTTTTGTGTTTAAGATCTGCTTTTCTACTTCTAACATGACAGGTAAGAAAACAGACAGACTGGACATGTTTAAGGAAAACGCTTTGAAGAAAACAGCTTGTGGACAAGTTTTACTTCGTCCATTTGTTAACACCTTTGGCTTTGAACTCTGCCAGCAGTAAACATCTGGAGACAATCAGTGAGTTTATGGACTCTTAAAGCAGTCTGTTTATTTGCTTGTAAAGAGCAAACAGAATATTTACTCACCGGAGACGGTAAGACTGACTGCGCTTTGAGTCTCCTCCAGTCCATGTGTCACCTTGCAGATGTAAACCCCGGAGTCGCTCCTGCTGACCCCAGTGATCGTCAGTGAAGCATCCTGAACTGACTGCGGGTTTGTAGGCACTGACACTCTGTCCACAAACGTTGCTCCAAACTTTACCCTCCCTCCTTGGGCCACCAGTACCACCTGGTCTCCTAGTAGCGAATGCAGCTTTATCCACTGGATTCTGACCTCTTCGGAGCTGCTTTGGGAAACGGGCATCATAGAGAAGCTGCACCTCAACACCACCGTGCCGCCTAGAGAGCTATCCACATGCAGGGATCTTGGTATCATTGCTGTTGGTTGGGGAGAATCTGAAAAAAAAAATAGTTTGGGGTGAGTGTTTTGCAATTTAAGCTGCATGCTAAAATCCCAAAACTTTTTGTTGATAGATGGTGTGTTCCTGATAGGGAAGGAAAAGATATAACTTCAGTGATTAAGACCTGAAAACTACACTTTCATTGCAATTCTCTGCTACTTAGAATATCCTATAAAAGAATAGAGTAGAGTAGAATAGAATAGAATAGAATAGAGTAGAATAGAGTAGAATAGAATAGAATAGAATAGAATAGAATAGAATAGAATAGAATAGAATAGAGTAGAATAGAATAGAATAGAGCTATGGGGAAAGTCAGGTGTATCAACGGTGAGCATCATCTTCAGAAGATTTTTAGTGTCTTCAGTCAGAGGCCTCTCCAGATCTGGTGCAAGACAGACCTCTACAGAAGATCCCTACTGCCTACAGCTATCAACACCTAAAACACCTGTTTAAGAAATAACTTATGAGTTGCTGCAACATTTAATTTTGGGATTAATAAATTGTTTTTCAATCAAATTGAATTGAATTAATTGTGGAAAAGGTCTACATCAGAAAAGCAAGTAACTGCGCTTTTGGTTCAAATAAAATGTGTAACTGGTCGAAGTTTGTAAAAAATAACATTTTATAAGAACAGAGATGAGCTGAGATGGTTTACGGTGTGACAGCTGCTGACTGAAAGGATCTACATTAACAGCCCCAGGATTCAGCCGTGTCTCTCTGAGACTATAGGAGCTCCATGTGATTGGAGACATTGTCCAACAGTGATGAAGTGTTTTCCTTCCGTTTTCCACCATCTGCACAGAGCCCAGGGTCTATTTTAGGAGTGATGCTCTTTCCGATGAGCTTATTCAACTGCATCCTCACAGCTGTAGATAAAGCCCCTGTCACATCTTGATGATTTAGATGTATGCCTGACATACAAAAAATGCGACAGAAATTCAATGGTCTACATTGGATAAGTTATGGGTCAGTTTTGTATAAGTTATCAGCACGCTGAAGCACGCTGGCACACATCAACATACAGCAACATGTGCCAGCGTTTGCTCATACATGGGGNTATGGGTCAGTTTTGTATAAGTTATCAGCACGCTGAAGCACGCTGGCACACATCAACATACAGCAACATGTGCCAGCGTTTGCTCATACATGGGGTATAAGTTACAGGTCAGTTATTTGATCGTTGACATACATTAATTGTAAACACTGATAAGTGTCATGTTTTTTTCTTTTTGGAATGACTATGACCTGGATGACTGAAAACCTTCACCAGCGTGTGCATAACTTATCAAGAACTTCCCTCTAAAGCATATCAACGTATGTGACGTGTTCCAGATGACTGCTGAACGTGTTTCTAAATTACAGCTACTGTTTAATGGTGTATTGGCAGCATTTGGTATAAAAGGAAGTTCACAGGAGGAAACTGTCAGTTCTCATCTGGACTGCATCCCCATCACAGGGTGAGTCACATGGCCACGACCAACTGACCACCAACCAGCTGCGACTGCAAACCTTCTTTATTTATTTATTTATTTATTTATTTGGTGGGCGCTAAACAGCAGCCATGTTAATTCTGCGATCAAAGACATCTTTTTATGCAGGCCAGGCGCCTCCGGACACTTCGCTGCCCCCCTCAGGACACTGCTTGTGCATCAGATCACGGGCGTTAGGCTGTCGTTGGACATAAGTTCTGTACTAGTTATGAATACTCTATGTATACGCCCAAAATTGGAATACTACATAGAAAGTTCAGCGTTTTAGAAACCGCTGCTCCTCCACATCCAGAGGAGCCACTTGAGGTGGCTCAGGCATCTGGTTACGATGCCTCCTGGACGTTTCCCTGGTGAGGTGTTCCAGGCACGTCCCACCGGGAGGAGGCCAAGGACATGCTGGAGGGAAGATGTTTCTTAGCTGGCCTGGGAGCGCCTTCGGGTTCCCCCGGAGGAGCTGGCCCAAGTGGCTGGAGAGAGGGACGTCTGAGCCCTGTTAAGAAGCCACTTAAGCTGCTACCCTCATGACCTAACCATGGATAAGCTGAGGAAGATGGATTGATGCAGTCCCTGATTAAAATTGTTCAGCAATTCGATCATGGATTGAACTATTCCTTTAATCTCAGCGTTGAACAAGCCAACAACAACCTTGCTAGTAGTAGGCATCTTGCTCACATTTGATTCACTTCAATTATTCTTCCTTCTGCTCCACCAAGCAGCTGTATCCAAGATGACCAAATTTCCAAACCAATATCATCAACGATTGGCTGAGCCGGAGAAGTGTTTTGTATGGGACACATTTTGTAGATGGTTGCAGGTGCAGCTACCTTAGAACCTTCTCTAAGTACACTTTAAAGGAAAAGTCCAGTCGGCCTCAGCAGATGGCCGCTCACACTGAGCCTGGTTCTGCTGGAGGTTACTGCCTGTTGAAAGGGAGTTTTTCCTCTC